CAGGGCTGCTCTCAATGCCTTCATCTCCCAGTCTGTATTGATACCACAGGGCAGGAGGAGGGGGTTGCCCTGACCTAGACGCAGGACGTTGCACTTGGCCTTGTTAAACCTCATGAGGTTCACACAGGCCCACTTCTCAAGCTTTTCTTACAGGCCCCCTTCAAGTACTGAAAGGCTGCAATAAGGTCCCCCCAGAGCATCCTCTTCTCCAGCTTGAGCCACCCCAGCTCTCTCAGCCTGTCCTTACAGGTGTTTCATCCCTCTGATAATTTTTGTGGTCCTCCTCTGGACCTGCTCCAGCAAGTCCATGTCTTTCTTGTACTGAGGACTCCAGAGCTGGACACAGTACTCCAGGTGGGGTCTCATCAGAGCAGAGGGGCAGAATCCCCTCCCTCGACCTGCTGCCCACACTGCTTTTGATGCAGCCCAAGGTACAGTTGGCCTTCTGGGCTGCAAGCGCACATTGCCGGCTCATGTCCAGCTCTTCATCCACCAGTACCTCCAAGTCCTTCTCAGCAGGGCTGCTCTCAATGCCTTCATCTCCCAGTCTGTATTGATACCACAGGGCAGGAGGAGGGGGTTGCCCTGACCTAGACGCAGGACGTTGCACTTGGCCTTGTTAAACCTCATGAGGTTCACACAGGCCCACTTCTCAAGCTTGTCCAGGTCCCTCTGGAGGGCATCCTGTCCTTCAGTCATGTCAACTGCAACACTCAGTTTGGTGTTGACTGCAAACTTGCTGAGGGTGCACTTGATCCCACTGTCTATGGTATCAACGAAGATATTAAACAGCACTGGTTCCAGTATGGATGCCTGAGGGACACGATTTGTTACCTATCTCCATCTGAACATTGAGCTGTTGACCACTACCCTCTGGATGCAACCATCCAACAAATTTCTCATCCACTGAACAGTCCACCCATCAAATCCATATCTCCCCGATTTATGTGGGGACCATATCAAAGGCCTTACAGAAGTCCAGACAGGTATAGCTCTTCCCTCGTCCACTATTTCAGAAATACTTCAGAATGTTTTATGTTACAAGGTAGTTTCACTTGCCCAATTTTTTTTTTTTTTTTAGAATTGTGACAATGCAGTGTCAAAACTATTTCATAAGGGTGAGATTAGGGTATGGGCTTTCTGAACAGCTTTCTGAACATGAAGTGTTAAAACACAAGCTAGGCAAAGATCTCTTGGGTTTCCTGTGCCTCTCCTTTCCTGGCTTCACAAACATCCAGTGGTGGTCTGAGAACGACAGAGCACCAATGACAACACTGAGCTGCAATCATACTGGTACTTAATGACACTGTATTTCCAGCTTTCCACAACTGTAAATTCATATTACTGAAAGTATTTCCTTATTTTCAGATGTTCAAGTATTATTATTCTTTAAAATCTGAGTGAGCATGAGGTGGCCCTAGGCATCTTAAACTCTGGAGCAGTAGTATTTATGATAAACATGCAGTGCACCACTTCTTACCTTGAATCTCTTTATTTCCATTGCAATATGTCCTAGTTTTTCCCCTCTGTCTCCATATGATTAAAAAATACAACCTAGTTTTCATCCCACAACAGTTCTTACCAGAAGACATCAACCTGCTCTCCCTACAGAGATGGTCAAAGAAAGAACAATAACCAGAATTGGCTTAAGGGAGAGATACAGGACAGGACTGGAATGCACAATCTAGATCACAGACACATGGAAAAGTGATGTCCAATAAGCAACATTAGGAAGATACGTGCATTCAATTCTTCATGCTACAAGATTCTTACTGCAGAGTGTAATGATAATCATTTCTGCAAAAGCACTTGAGGCATGTCTACATACCACAGAGGCTATGGAGCATCCATAACTGAGCAACATCCATCCTTGTAGATATTCAAAACTGACTGGTTACAACCTGAGCAACCTGATCAGACTTTGAAGTTGGATCTAACTTCAAGTTTGACCCTGCTTTGAGCAGGAAATACACCACCCCCGAGGTCCCTTCCAACCTAAATTACACCAAGATTCTACACTGTCAAATAACTAACTTCTGTCTCAGTCCCTGTCATGCACCCTTCATTACCAATGCTGCACAAATGTTAATTCACTCCTAGGTTCTCTTTTGGATCAAATCAATAAGCTCATCAAAGGTGAAAGCTGTATGAAATGCTAAAGATAATTCACTCCAAGGAGCTCTGTCTGTAGCCAGTATGGGTGAGAGAAGATCAGGTTTGTCTACCTCCATGTTGCAGAGTCTACACTGTTACCACACAATTATTCCCAAATACACCCAAATGAGCTCATCCATACAACCAGAGCACATGAGATGTACCCTCAGCACTATGTTATAAAAGTCCTTTTGGCAGGTTGCAATTCTTTGCTTACATTATTTCTGGCACTTTAAACTGGGAAAAACAAATACATGGAACACAAATAAACAGTATCAATGTCTTTTTGAGGGCTCAGAAAAACCTAGCCCAACTCCTAAGCAGTGAAACACCATTCTGTTTCAGAGGGGGTTAAACCTGAGCAGCATGCAAGTGAGTTAATATTTTCATCACTAAGGTCCTGAAGACCATTACAGACCATTATACTGCTCTGTGTAAGGTCAAAAATGGCCATCATCTCAACAGGGATCAGTATTTAAGTGCTGATCTTAAAAAAAAAAAAAAAAAAAAAAAAAGCCACATTCTTAACTAAGTTGGCAGAAAAGACAAGATAAGTTTTAACTCGTTAGAAATCTCAAACTCACTTATCTACAATCTTGAATTTGAACTCCTAGTATGAATCAAAGTCCAAATCGCTCTCTTTGCTGCTACCTCTCTCGAAAATTAAGATAATAGCAGTTTGCAACACAGGCATTCTCTGTATCAAGAATTATGCCCTGTGCCATCCTAGTGACCCTAATTTTTATTTCATCTTTTTCAGTACTGCTTTCTAACAAGGAAGTAGGTGTCACATAGTAGTAACAAACTAAGCAACTAGGATTGAGCAGGGAAAATTAAGGCCAGTTGCAATGCAGCCAAAGCGCATATGCACACACAACCACCATTTTGTAAAATATTTTTACTCATAAGGTAGGATCTGGAAACTTTGGTTTCAGTTTTGACCTCTAAACATAACGTTATGAGATGAACAAATTTGAAAACAGTTGCAAAAAGCATGCAAATCCATACACTTAGGAATCTACATGTAAAATCAAAGTATTCAATCTAAGGGAGGGCACAGTAAGTGCTATCTAAAACAAGGAAAGCTCAAATAGTTGTAAACACTTGTAAAAAATCTGTAAACTTGTTATTAAGAGATTCTTCCTAGCTCTACAAGGCAAGCTCTAACTCACCTGGGACTTAACTGAGACAAAAGGCCAAAATTCCTATTTTTATGAAAAGAAACACTTTAGATATTTGAAAGAGCAAAAGATCAATCACTCAGCTGACAGCACAGCAGCTTCTAACTGCAGAGAGGCTCTGATTTAATACAGATGCAGAGGAAACACAGACACTAAGTGACAAGTAACCATTTTTCTCTAGTTCTGTCATAAGGAGTAAAGTAGACCTTTAGAACAGAAAAAAAGATCACAGCTTGGGTTAACACAAGCCTTCCCATTTGAACTTAATAAGACATTAATACACCTAACGTACCTGAATTTGGATACAGGCAGACATCATTGATATCAAATTCTGGCTCCATTGATGTAAATATCTTCCCCTGAAATTGTAGGAAGAAAATATATTATAAAGAACTCCAGACAATAGAATTAAATTTAGTAAATCTAAACATTAAGAACAGCCATTCTAGAAGCTAAGAAAGATGATGGAATAAGGATGGAACAGATTTTGCAAAGCAATAAAATGTTATTGAAGTATCTGAACACAACACAGTGAACTCAGTATTGTGTTTCATCTCTGAGCTGCTCTCTTACAAGGAAGTGTAGCGTAATGGTTATTGAAAACTCAGCAGTGCACAGTGGCATCTCTGATTTCTTAGCTCACACTTCCATGTTGAAAATATATGTGTTAGATTTATTTTATTTTATGCAAAGGGAGGTGGGAGGTCCATAAACTCCCGGCACATTGTCAGTGTGTTCCTTATTTTGTTCAACTCTGAATGTGGTAGTTTTAAATTAATTTGTTTTGGTACCATTAGCTGAAACAATGGGTTGAAAGTGGACTTTGACTCTGGAGCTTGGTTCTTCCACCCTGCTCATGTCTACATGAAATTAAATATAGCTCAGCACTTTATTTCTAACAGTATTAAAGAGGTATCAACATAAAATAAAAGTAGTAAAAGCATCAAGTGGTATCTAGCTTAGATCAGAATTCAAGTTACAAAGGTTATTTAAGAAAGAGGTAAAAGCAGGAAACAACATTCTCAAAAAAAAATAAGAATTGGAACAGAGTCTGAAAAACCCAGACAAAATACAGGTGCTCTTATAAGCCAACACACAAGACAGCCAGTACAGGAAGAGTCTCTAAGAACTGGGCCACAGCACCTGAAGCATGAGAGTACATGCCTACACAGTTTGAAATGAGGGACAGGAACAGAGCAAATTTTGATCCTATTCCTCTTTTTTCTTTCCCTGCAGCAATCCCACCTACCTTTCTGGGCCCTTCCTTTCCCTCCCAGTTACATGCTGTTACCCCACCCACCTCTGGTCTCTCCCCGATGATTAATAAGAGTCCTCCCCCACCCTGGTCTTAGCAGACAAAAGCCTGATGCTCCCCACCCCAAGGCACGTCTCAGCATGGGGCTATTCTGGTATCAAAGCCATATGCTCTCCGCCCCACAGTCTGCCTCTGCAGTTGGTTCCCAGCCAGAGATAGTCAGGAACCAACATCTGGGAGAGGTGGAGCCAGCTGGAACATACTCTAGGAAAGAGTCCAAAGCTACCTTTGCCTTCCAGCAGTACGAAACCCTCCCTTTTCCCACTGCAGAGGCCACCTGACAAACCTCACAGTGTTTCACTCTCAATAAGGGAAATATATGTACCTAGGAAAAATGGAGAGAGGCCACTACAGATGTTTTAAATAATAACCAATAATTTATTTATTCACTCTTTTAAACAATAAAAAATAACTGCAGAGGAGCTTACAAAAAACTGCTTGCAATCACAGAAAATAATAAAAGAGGCTGTTGAAAGTTCATGAAGAAGCACAATAGAGAAATGATTGCCTGAAATACTCAGGAAAAAAAAGTGCTTCTAAACTACTACAACTGCTATTGATATGTTTCACTATAAAGCTAGAAAAGCAGAGATGGAGCACGTTTTTTAGGAGGAATACAATGACTAAAGATAGCACCTGAAACTGAACCAAGTCACAGTAGTATTACTACAAATCTATGGGGTAACATATTTTGTGCAAGCTTCATTGACGGAAAGATAAGAAAAAGAACAGCGTGATATAATGAAACAAAGTGTTATGCAAGTTTAGATTTCCATTTCACTCAGAGGTGCAAAAGGCAGGGATAAAGTCGTTGCCTACTGCAACATAATCCATTAATACCGCATAATACACATGGCTCTTTGCATCTAGCCACAGTATCTGCTTCAATATCCAAATAGGTTTCTGTGAAATTAAGCAGCACTTGATTTTAATATGTCATAAAGTAACTTTGAAGTTAGCCCTTCTCTGAGCAGGGAAATGGAATGACCATGTTTCCTCTGATAACAAATTGTAACTGGATGTGTTCAAGCATACTGTGAGAAATACACAAACCAGGGTAATGGTTAAGATAGTAGTTTTCAAAGACTGTATCTTTATACCTGACAGGCTGTTAATAACTTCCAAGATGTTGGTTTATTTAGTCAGACAGGACAAAATGCTATGTAAATTAGGACACATAAAAAAACCCAACTTCCTACACTGAATTTCACCTTTATTATTCAAGCTGCATGAAAACAAACAAAAACAAAAAGAAAGTTAAAAAAAAAATTGAATGCAGCAACATAAACACACTTACCGTATCTTTGTTCCACATTTTTATAATTCGAGAATCTGCAGAGATAATTAAATCCAACTGATGCTGAAACTGAATTGACTTAATAGGCAGGCCATAGTGGTGATCTTTGACTATTAACGGATTACTAGACCGGAGATCATATAATAAAACCTTGAAGAATAAGAGATAGATTGAATTTACAATATTGTAAGATCAAGAGGAAGTCACACACAACAGATCTTCACTGAAGATTTAACAAACTTGAGATTTTTCACTTAAATACATGGACAGAATTTATGTAAAAGAAACAATTTTCAATTCTGAAAACATTACTCAGTGGGTCCAGTTTATACTGGCAATATATTTTAACCTCAGCATGCTTCAGTCTAGAAAGATTAAGACCAAATTTAAGAGCTCACCACCTTTCTAAAGTCATTTTAATTTCTACTGAAAAAATGAACCCTTTTCAAGACTCTCCAGATTTCTTAAGTACTAATATTCCACTTTCAGATTATTGTGCTGTTTGTACAAGACTGAAATTTTCACACTCCCTTCTGCATTCAGCGAGTATCACTTTCACTGAGTGAAACACCAGACAATGTAATTTTTTTACATACCCTGTCTTCCAGAAACCTGCAATTTTGTCTCCAAAATTTCCTATGGAATTTGAGAAAGACCTTAAATCTTTCACACTCAAAGTGTGAACGCTAACAATTTTGGGAAAAAGATTATCACTTTGCTTAATAAAAAATATAATCCCCAATAAAATTTGCCTGACACGTATACTAACTAAATGTTCCTCAAGGTCCCTTCCAACCCAAACCATTCTGTGATTATCACAAATACAACTCTTGCATACGTGTCCACTCTTGAACAAGTTACAGTTTTCTAAACCCATGGAAAGACTGATGAAGGTAGGAAAAAATCCCCATACTCCACTTTGCAAATACAATGGCAACAATGAATAAATGAATCGAAATGATCCCTTCTAGAAAGATAAGACAGTAAAAACAATAGCTGAAAGACCATCACTTCTGCTTCTTTAGCCACTATCAATATAAAGGAGAGCATATATGTTGCATTGAGATGTTACACAAAAAGCAACAACTTCCTTGCATTCATGACTCTTAAGTCATAAGAAAACTTCAGAATTTGAAGTTACATAGTAGGTTGTGACAATTTTAAGTGGTCTCTACAGTATTCAGAAGAGCCAGACCATTTGACAAAGTTAATTTGCAGTTTAAGAATGACTCTTACTATTCAATACACGTAATTCATGCTCTTATAAATATTTGTATTAATATATATTTACATTACAGTAAATGCACTCAATGTATGATAGACTTGGACTGGCAATTGCAAGAACAGGATCTCCTAAGAACTGTTGTAGATGAAGATAAGTCTACCTGCCCAGTAGATGTTCCAACAGCCATATTCAAAGCTCCATCAAATTTCAGTGCTGAAATGGATGGTAAACCATCTATCCTAAAAAGCACAATGCTTATAGTTAGATATTTCTTCAATAAAGGCTGCAAATAATTTTTTAAATGTTAAAAACAACGAAGATAATTAATGTAAATTAAGCTACAGATATTACTCAGAAATACTACTTCAAAAAGCTGCACTGTTTACATTCACAACTTGTGGCGGTAAAGAAAGTTAGCTGCTACTCAGATCAATAACTAAGATGCTCCTTCATGACTAAGAAAACCCTTTACTCACACTACCAGTGAGAATACCATAGGCAGGTCATTTTAATGCAAAGTGGGATTTGTTTCTAAAAGCAAAACTTCTTAAAAAACAGAAGGACACACTTTGAAAAGGTCGCCTTTACTCACTCCGTGTCTGCTGTCACACTGCTTAAAGCACAGTCCAACAGCCCAACTCGGTTTCTGGTTCTAGGATCCCAGCATTCCACTTTACCCTAAACAGTTCAGAAAATACATTTAAAACTTACACAACAGATGTTCGGTATTCTGAAAATGTTTACATAAAATGATGAATTTTTTAATCTATGACTGATTAATCAAATTTCCTACATTGACATGTGTTGTTCTAATAATGGCATACAAGATCTACATATTTCATTTATATTTTTAAAATATGTGATCTGAATCAAAATCATTAACAGCAGATTTCCAGAGATTAACAGAGTACACATGCTTAATGGCATACAAGATCTACATATTTCATTTACATTTTTAAAATACGTGATCTGAATCAAAATCATTAACAGTAGATTTCCAGAGATTATCAGAGTACACATGCAGCTAAATGCTACAGATGGCCATACTGTAAAGCAAGATAACATTTTTTTTCTCTCATCTGCAAAATCTCAAGCATCTCAGCAACCAAGGTAGCTCAGAAATTGTCTCTGCAACATGCTCTAAAAAGTAATCTTGTTTAATAGATCTATACTTAACATAGCAAATGAGATCAAATTAATTAATTAGGTTCCTGTCATGATTTCTTCTTATTCTCATGCAAATTAATATAAGAAAGAAACAAACACTACTGTCCTTTTTATAAAAGGAATGCAAACATTTACCTCAACTGTCCCCATAGCAAACAAGAAGTGTACAGGATTTATGTCACAGACATTACTCTCTCTGAAACAGAAAAAGGATAAAGTTTAATGACCTCAGAATAATCTAACACATCAACAACTAAAAGATTTCTATATTTCTTTTATTTCTTTTCTATATTTCTATTATTTCAATATTTCTATTGCTCAGCCTGGAAAAGCAAAAGCTAGAGGGAGGGATGGACAGCCACCTACTAGCAGCTTCCCATACTTAAAAGGAGCTTACCAAGAATTTGCAGCCATCACAGACAGTGCTGATTACTTCAAACAGGTAATGTCTGGATCACTTCCAACTGGATGTACAGATCATATTTTTAGGCTATGTGGATAATTAAGCACTGGAATGGTTGCCCATAGAGGCTGTGGAATTTCCATCCTTTGATTTTTCAAGACTGCCAGGGAAAATTCATCTGAAATCAGTGTGACCATGCCTTGAGCAGGAGGCTGGGCTCTGAGGTTGTCCAACCTGAACGACTCTGCATTTCTCTGCCCACACCCACCACCAAGTCTTGCCATTTAGCTCTGCTCCACTATACTCTTAAACAACTCAATTATATCAAAAGGTCTTCTCAATTACTTATGTTCTGAAGCTTATATTTCCAACATATTCAGCTGAATGGCCTGTCTTACTTTCCCTCACCCAAGTACCCTATTTCTCAACAGGGGACCCAAGAGACCTGTATTTTTCCAACAATTATTCCAAAGTACAAATATTTCTCTTTATACCACTCACCCTGGGACTTTCCAACTTCTGCCATTCAAAGCCCTCCACCTCTAATTCTGTAACTTGTGCAGCTACTGCACCTCACAACCTTCTCACACTTTTAAGTTTCAACTCTCTAATTCAGATTTTATACTGCACCCTTAGCTCTCCCTCTCCAGGATTCTACCCCTTTTTTTTCCCCTGCTGCTTAGTTTCTGTGTTGTGCCTTCCCAAATATTGCTTCCACTAAGCTATCCTACCCATTGAACACCAGCTGTTGCCCACCAACTGGCTACTTCATCTAGTCAAGTCCTTTCTTCTCATCTGCCTCTCCCCACATGAAAGACCAGCTCCTGCTCTGGTAGGGTTTTCAAAAGAATCAAGACACATGCTGGAGATATAAAAATTCTCTTTGGGCTACTCCAAGACCAGAAGGACAAAGACATGTCTGGGAAAGTACATACCCTGTGGGTAGATCTCTATATGATGGCTAAATTGAGCAATAACGGCAAAATTTTAATGAAATGCTCTTAAGATCAAGTTATATAATACCTATTACAAGTCTATATGAAGCAATTTTAAAACACATACAAAATAAAACTCAATTAAAACATAAAAACTAGAACAAATAATTACAAAGCATTAAAATAAAATGAGGTTCAGATTCAGCATATGTTCTTTTCGACTCTACAGTGCGCTTGGGCAGTGTTCAGATACAGAACTGATGGAGAGCAGGCTAGTGGTTTGCTTCCACCTGGTGGAAAGAAGACAGACGTCATACACTACAGATAACTTACGAAGCATCGGTTTGCAGGGAGTTCAGAAACCTTCCTTGTTCCAGATTTAGCCTGTATACTTCTGAACTACAAAGGAAAAATCCAAAATTACCCCTTTCTGCTACAAATACTGAAAAATACTGTTGTAAGTTAGGAGGAGTTATAATTTTACCAAATATAAAATTTTCAGACTTTATAATCTAAAACATAAATCTACTCTTCAGTGTTAAAACTACAGAGAAAAATGAGCATGTTCACCAAGTGTACTTATTACACTGCAATTCTTTTTCCAGGGAATTTAGTCTTTTTTCAGTGAAAAGATGCATTAATTCTTTTCTTGAGATCTTTTCATTTCCTGATTTACATTGTATCTTGAATTGCTACTTATTTTATTTGAAACTCTAAAGACCTAATTTCATTTTTACTGTGTCTTCTCACAAGCTCTAATTATTTTATGTGATTTGACTTACACTTTAACAGCAACAAAATACCAATCAAGATAGAAAAAGTTATGTAATTTTCCTTACTTAGATTATAACTTTTAAAAACAGTACACTGAATTGCAATTTTTATAACAAATTTGTAAATACATTATACGCCTGGTATAAGAATCAAAGAAAAAAAGGCTTAAAACAGTACAGGCAACTGAATTAATTTTAGTCTTCCCACATTTTCCACTCTTCACAAACAGGCTCTATTATGAATTTGGAAGGAACTGCCACTTCTGTCAATTTTTAACTTTTCTGGTATTTTAATGTTAATTTTATTCTTGGAAAATGTTGCTAGCAAAAATGAAGTAAAATAATCCACTTAATCAATACCTTGCTCCTACAAAATACAGGTCACACGATGGATAGTGATAAGAGAAATCTCTACCAAATTTTGGTATTCGTGTCCTGTAGTAATGGCCGTGTTGTGAATGAAACTCCACAAACCTGCCACACTGCAAGAAGACAATCTGAAAAGAAAACAGAGAACACTGAAACAGACAGAAGCAGAACACAGTCTCCCCGACTTGTCTTACAGCACAAACTCCAGCGTTTTTTTTCAAGCTCACACAGGTTTATCATTTAAACCATTTCTATTAAAATAACAGAATCAGGTAGTGCTTCATCATTCTCACAGTGCTTCATCATAGCCACATCAGAGAGTTTTATTAATAAACATTAAATGAACAGTCACAAGAGTATATGTGACACCTTGAAAGTGACTCTGCAACCAGAAGCAGTATAGTCATCTTGGTGTTGTGCTGCACCAAAACTAACATCTGCACTTCTTTCAGACACCAGAGTTAATAACCTCTTCCAGGTACAATGCCATGCAGGCACCAATATCTTCAGAGGCACTACGCACATGAACTCTACATCCTGATGCACAGCAGTGTTTCAATAAGTGATTCATACTAGTACGAATCTATACAAACAGATCTATTTCTTTCTTCATTTCGGTGCGTTTTAGGAAAATCAAATTGAAAACAAGGTTGTATTAAGTTGTGAAAGTAGGGCTTCAGTCTGAAATACAGTACCGATTTCAGCTGAAACACGCACAAGCCTTGCTGTGTGTAAGCGGTCAGGAACACACTTGTGAACACAATGTGTTCCTCAGCTTCACAATTAACTGTTTGGTATGGACAACCAGAAACATCCTCCCAGAGACAGACACGTGGAATGCGACTGTACTGAATCAGCCAGTGCATTCTGCTACCTGAATTCACGCACAGTCTCGGAAATCTCATACGGGAAAAATTTGGAAAAAACTAAAGCTAGAAGGCTAGATTATGATGTCTCTAATCAAATAGAAATATTTATTAAAACAAACCTGTACCAGAAATGCTAATGTCTCTTAAGAGAGAAAAAAAGAAAGCATTAAAATAAACAGTTAACTTAAAAAAAAAAAGACTTGTCCTAAGCAAAACTATATGCTTAAATTTCATATTTAATTTTGATTAATCAGCAAAGCAAAGTTTACAGAATGAGGTAACATGTTTTATTGCACCAGCTGTTGCACCTGAAGGAAACAGCCATGTTTTAAACAGAATTAGAAGTGGTAACTGTATTGGGCCTGAAAAAGGGCTGATGGTCCTAAGAACTCAACTGCTTCCTCCATGTACAGCACTTCATAAAAAACAAAACAAAACAAAACAACCATACACTACATCTCTCTACAATTTTTGCCTCATTCATACACTTACAATCATCATGGCTACAACAATGCTGACAAATCAGGCTATTAATTTACCTATAGCTATCTCATCTCCCAAGATTGATGTATTTGTGTATCATTCATCACAAGGGATTGTGCCTAAATGTTATCTTAGAAAGAGTAACTAATTCAATTTTTCACATTATTTTGTTTGTAGGATAGATCATTATTTGAAGTTTTTCTCTACTACAGACAAAAGACTTTAAAAGTGGTAAGGCAAATTATAATACAAAGAGACAAAGAAAACAAACAGTGTTTTGAAGGTACAAAAATTGTTTATCCTGTTTGCTTTTTAAAAAAACCTTTTCTGTTCCAAAAGTTGTGTTGGTTGACTGCCTTTACTATATATGAAAATGCATTTTAATATACATATTAAACCACTTTTTCATTTATACATTGAAAACATTAAACATACCTTTGAGTAATCATCTGATAAAATCTCAAATGTAACCACTAGAGGAGAGAGCAAGAGAACTGTAAGTCAACTAAGTAAGCAAACTTATTTGCAAACATTGGCATAAATCCTGGAAACATTTACACTCATGCTAACCTTTAGTCATATAAGTATTCCCCACAGGTGTCAATGCATAATGCAGGCATTGTGATAAAATCTTTAATTATAGAACGTTATTTGCAAAATAGTAAGTAGTTTTCTAAAACTTTAGAAACATATGAAGCATCTTGTAATCTTTTTATCGTTCTTGTATGCTTGACATGTTCCTCAACACAATGCTCAACCATGTATTTATGGGCCCAGGGAAAGTCTAATCAAACTGTTTTGAGTGAGTGTGTGGTCCATGGATCTTTGCTAATCCATCAGAGATGACAAAAAGTGACATGAGTCTGGATATACTACGCACAAACCTGCACACATATCTTTCTAAGGGGTCAGCACTTCCACAGAAAAAGTTCTAAGGCTCAAAAAACTCTCAAGCTTGAAACCTACTATCCATGCTGAACACTGCAACGTATTGAACTTCAGTTTTAAAAAGGCTGGGTTGGGAACATTAAGGCGTAGCTGCTTCAGCTAAACTGTTTCCATTTAAATGAGGTAGCTCATTTAAAGTTACCTGAAGTGACTCTATACTACATTTCAAATTAAACATAATTTTGCAGTCTAGTAAGATGCCAGTTCAAAAAAATGCACTTTAATCTCTAATTACCAGCAAGCATTTACTATTACAATGACTCCTGTTCTTTTAAAGTGGGTGTCACTCTTGCCATAGCTTTCTCTCCCCAGCCTCTCTGAATCCCTACCCCACCACCTCCCATCTTACCATGTTGTAGCATTGTCCCTTCACCCTACATAGAATCACAGAATGTTGTGAGTTGGAAGGGACCCACAAGGATCATTGAGTCCAACTCTCACCCTAGCACAGGACAATCCCAAGATTCAGACCAGGTGTCCGAGGGCCTTGTCCAAACGCTTTTTGAACAAGGTCAGGCTTGCTGCCATGACCACCTCCCTGGGGAGCCTGTTCCAGTGCTCCACCACCCTCTGGGTGAAGAACGTTTTCCTAATGTCCAACCTCAACTTGCTCTGGTGCATTTTCCTGCCATTTTCCTATCAACGGTTGCCAGGGAGAAGAGATCAGGACTTGCCCCTCCTCTTCCCCTTGTGAGGAAGTTCTAGATCGTGATGAGGTCTCATCTCAGTCTCCTCCAGGCTGAATAATCCAAGTGACTTCAGCCTCTCCTCACATGGCTTCCCCTCTAAGCACTTCACCGATTTTGTGGCCCTCCTCTGGACACTCTCCAGTAGCTTTATAACCTTTTTATACTGTGGTGCCTAAATCTGCACCCAGTACTCAAGGTGAGGCCACACCAGTGCAGAGTAGAGTGGGACAATCACCTTCCTCAACCAGCTCGCAATACAGTGCTTGATGCACCCCAGGACATGGCTGGCCATCTTGGCACAGAGTAAAGAAACACTACGATGCTCCAATGCCTTTTCCTGATCTAATTCAGTAGTTCTCAATTTTTATTTTTCACATCACTTTCACATGCATCACAGAGCGGTTTCATTCTCCTGTAACGATTTACTACTTCTGGCACTCTACGCTCATTCCCTCATTGCTTTGGTCACCCCTGTATCCCAGTTTTCAACCATCAGTTTTATAATAAAAAAACCCAAATAAAAACAAAAAACCCACACAGCATTCCCCAAACCTATGTACTCCAAAACTCGGAGCACAGCAGCTCTGACCTTCTCTCTTAGTCTAAATGCCTGCAGATTATAGTTGTTCTACCTCCAAATTAGTAGCAAACAAGGTGTAATTAGGGCCTTGGCCCTGCTACCATCTGTCCCCAAGTACCTTGCTTCCAAGAAAACAAACTAACAAAACCACTCTCAAGGAATTCTCTTTACCCTCTAACTCACCTACTGAGTTTGGGCTCCAAAGGGAAAACAGCGAGAACCTAGTTTCAGTAACGATGGTGCAACCACAGTGCGTTCTCCTACCTTACTGCTCCAGAGAAGGGGAAAGAAGGGAGAACTGACCGCTACCCAGCCATGAGTCCCGCATCCCATTCCCCAGGCAGAGCACAGCATCCTGCCACATTCACGCTCCAAGCCCTGCGCTCACTGGCTCAAGGTAAATCTTACATTCCTCATACCACTCCAAGAAAGGAAAGAACTTTGAAGGAGGAGGAAAAGGGAAAAATACAGAGGTAAAGACTAGGTGGTGACATTTTACTCTCGATTCTTGTGTTCCCCCAAAGTACATTCTATCCTCTCAGCACAGTGAGGGAAATTTGTACTTGAGTCCAACCTGAATTATACATATGAAAGACATCTTGTACTAACAGCCATAGTTTATACTAACCTTCAGCATCTAAGCATCTTTCAAATTTCTGGGATAACTGATAGGTATCAAAACAGCGGATCCTTGGCTTATAAGTTCCTGAAAGAACAATTTGATCTTTAATAAAAAAATTAAACAAAAAGATAACATTTTTTTTAAATATAATGTTTTATATATACAGGCTTTACCGCATTTCAACTGTAAGTATTCTGATCTTGCCAAAGTCTCTGTGACTTGAAAAACACAACTCTTAGTAACATAAATTCATGGCCTGGTTTTTGTCTTTGATGCCTGAAAGCACCCAAGTTGTATGTAGGTTCTTCTGATTACCAGATACATCATACAGAACTTAGAAATATCTTCCGGTAAGTCTGAAAGACCAAGTCTCTTTATGCTATTAAAGCCTGCTAAAGCACTCATGTTTGGATCCTGCTTTGACAGTTAAAAAATGTAGCATTACCTTGAACATCATTGTTTGAGTATTGTTTTAAAGGATGGAGAAGTTATCTAAAGCAAATTTACATATACACAATAAAAATAATTAAAACCTTAGTTTTAAACTGTATTATAAACAGTTCAGTTTTTAATTGTACTATAAACCCCAACTGGCAGGTCCCTTCCAACCCAAACCATTCTATGATTCTAAGAACACCTGTATTCTAAAGACAAGTCTCTCACAATACTACTACCAAAACAGCCACTCTAACACATCTTCAGAGTAAGCTTCCAAAACTCTGTCAGTGCTACATTTAAAAATGAGCTCTTACCAATTCTACCTGAAATACTAAGTCATTCTGCAATCAACATTTTCTAGCACTTCTGGCCTCTGCTACAGAGAGACACTTTGTTAACTCACCAACTGCCATAATATACTGTCCATCTCTTGATACCTTAATCTTTGTGCTAACCGTGGGCATTTCAAAGTCTTGAATAAGTTCAATTCTTCTACGGATATCTATAAAGAAATAAAATAAAACATAACATGTTTTTTAAAGGTAGCACTATTGTATCAGCACAAAAAACTGTAATGATTTCTTATGGAAGCATGCCAAGGTAACTGAATATAGGTAAAACCTTTCAAAATCTTTAAAATACAAAGATCTTTCAAGTACAATTAACAGATGTTATAAACAGTTTAATACAGTCTGTTAACCCTGAGATGTAGGCTACCTGCATTCAAAATAAGTGCCTATTTTGGGGGAGTAACTAAATAACAAATTATTATATAAGGTAGTAGTAAATATTTAACACGTGTTACACAACTAAGACCTTGTATAATATAGTCCATCCTCCTGTTAACTCTGCATTTTTTGGGGGGTTGAGGTTTTTAGACAACCCTTCTTATAATATGTAAATAGCCATATTTTATATTGGCTAACAAGCTTAGGCTAAAATTATCATGTTCCTGCACTCCAAGATAAGCAAAATACATACGGAAGAGTTTATGGTTGGACTTTATCATAAACTATACATGGAATTAATCTATCACATTTCTATATAATCTACAACCTCAATATTTAATGCCTGAAATTTAAAGCAATATTGGTAATATTCTATTTTTATATAAAGCTGTGTAGAAAGCTGAAGCATGGCCTTCTAATCAGAAGTATTTATAGCTCTAATTTTGTAGTTTTTAAAATCTGAGCTATGCACAACTTCCTTGTACCAGTCAGTAAAGTATCTCCCTCTGGATGTGCATGTTGTATATGTGTAGCTGCGTATTACTGAGGATGCTGTGATGGGAAAACTCACCCACATCTTTCTTCTGTAAAGCTCTTTTCTTCCTGTCTGAGAGCCACTGTAAGAAAGCACATACATCAGTCCTGAGCGTGTTACACATGAAGGAACCAGAGAATCGCTTAAAGTTTATCCAATTTGAAAGTATAAGAAATTTAAACCATTAATTGTTTTTCTCTCGATTATTTTAAAAATTCCATTGGCAACTTTAACCATTCCAGGGCAAGGAAACGTACAAAGTAGTGTTTTTTAAGATACTGTGGAATAACACACCTACAGTTAGAGATGGACGCATCCAAACTGCACGTTTAGTTTAAAAACACTTATAGCTGCTGTTAGTTACGATCCCCACCCTCCCCACAAGCACATATGGCGAAGGGGCAGCCCGGTGGCCGCTCCGGCCCGGGCAGGAGCTCAGGCCCAACGCGCCTGTAGAGCCTCCTGCTGCGGGAAGCGGGCAGCGGCCCAGCGGGCCGGGCGGGCGGGCG